TCTACCTCAATACCCTTACTTGAAATAATATGGCCAAGGAAAGCTACGGACCTTAGCCAAAACTAACATTCGCTAATTTGGCAAAGAGTTGTTGGTCCTTGAGAATTTGCAACACAATCCTCAAATGACCAATATGCTCATTCTCACTTCTCAAATAGATCAATATATCATCAATGAACACAATCACAAACATGTCAAGGTATTGTCTAAACACCCTATTCATCAAATCCATAAACGCAGCAGGAGAATTAGTCAACCCAAACGACATTACCAAAAACTCATAATGACCATACCGAATTCGAAAAGTCATCTTCGGAATATCTTCCTCTTTCACCTTCAATTGGTGATAACCCGACCTAAGATCAATCTTAGAGAAATAACTCGCTCCTTGAAGTTGGTCAAATAAATCATCTATCCTTGGGAGAGGATACTTTTTCTTAATAGTCACCTTGTTCAACTGAATATAGTCAATACACATACGAAGGGAACCATCCTTCTTCCTAACAAACAAAACTAGAGCACCTATGGAGAGATACTAGGTTGGATGAAACCCCTATCCAACATATCTTTCAATTGTTCTTTCAACTCCTTAAGTTCTGCCGGAGCCATACGGTAAAGAGGAATAGAAATAGGTTGTGTATCTGGGAGAAGTTCAATACCGAAGTTTATTTCCCTCTCGGGAGAAATACCAGGTAAATCATGAACACTTCCAAATATGAACATGATTACTCTGCAGACGGTGTCTCTACCAATTTGGGTACGGATGTTGCACAATTTACATGTAATGTTGTTTCAGATGAGTCTTCTAAGCCTACTATATTAGAAGATGATAAAGATATTGGTGTGCCTGTTAGTGTTGAGTCATTGAAGGATGATATCTATATTATTGGTGTGAACTTCAAGAAGTTGAAAGGTTAGACGAGTCTTGAACAAGACTCTGATGTTTGCTCTGTTTTTGTTTCAATGTATGCATCTGCCCTTGGTGCTATTGAAGAAGAATATTATAGAAAAACAGTAATTGTTGCAGCTGCAAAAGAGCAAGATTTTGTTGATGATATTTTTATTGATATTAGTGAGTCCCAAGTAACATCTATTAGACAAGTTGTTGTTAACATCTATCCATTCTCCCTCTTTCTATGACCCCGTGAGTTGCGGTTGGAATTTTGGACTTTGCTTGGCTACTAAGGACTGGAGTTGGTTAGAGCTTGGAGTTTTTGTGTTTATTATATGAGAGTGGACGTCATTCCATGATAGTTTTGTGATCTGATGAATTGATATGAGATCCTTCGGCAATCATTATAGTCATAGATTTAAGGTTTGGTCATGTTGCTCTTAATCCTATATGGAGTTGATACACATCGACTACAATTTACTGCCCTTAGAATTTATCCGCAGTTCGAGGTTTGGGCTCTGCACTCCTTGTCTCTGGTGACTCTTATTGGTTACTTAGGAGACTATCTGTGGTTCGAGGTCTGGGCTACGCTTTATCCTGCTCTCGACTTACCGTGACTTGTTCTTAGTAGACATAGCTATTTTGTGTACATGTCAGACTTATGGGGATCCGTTTGAGTTTTTACTTAATTTGCACATGGGTGTACCTTTTGGATTTATGGGGGCTCAATTAGGTTTAGTTAACTGCACTTATTTCATTTATGTCCTTAGTATATTTGTGTGCATTTTTTTGGCTTTCTGTTTTCTTGACCTCTGTTTGTGCTTTATTCTTGCATTTCATACTACTTTTACTTTTCCTGCTCAGTTGTCCTATGACGCCTTCAGAGTACCTGTTGTTTTTATATTCATGATACACTCTACATATGTTTCATGATGCAGATCCGAGCACTAGATACCAACATTGATAATTGAGCCTATTGCAGTTGTAGTTGATAGGTGAGGGTGAGCACTTGGCTTCCTGGATTTACCTGTCTCTATCGGTATTTTGGTAGCTAGTCTTTTTCATTTTGAGATAAACTTTGTATTTTGGGTTTCCTTTTTTGAGTTTTACTTTTTCGTTGTAGAAAGCTCTATACTTGAGACTTCAAGGTTCTAGGAGGGATCTTTTCTATTTATTATTTTGATTTGCTTCCATTTGTTGTTCTATTTCTTTTGTTAAATTATTGCTTCTGCCAGCTTATCTCTACCCTTACACCCATTACTTGTTGTTTCGGGTTATAGGTTGACTTACCTACTTGTGAGTTATAGTAGGTGTCATTATGACTCGAAAAATCAGGTTGTGACGGAACCTGATCATGAACATGGATTCTAGGTTTGGATCACGAACTGAGAAGTAGCTTTAGATGTATGAAAGAGTTCTTGATCAGCTTTAGAACACTTATGAATCATCAGCGAAGAGGCGTCTTAATGTATCTATTTTATGATCTTATGATCTTATAGTCACGGAGAAGGAAGCTTGTAATGAATACAAAGCTTTTTTCTACCAATTTGTGTTCAACTTGACAAATTTGTATGTAATTAGTTGATTCATATCATTCCAACACTGGACAACATTTGATTGGTTTTTTTGATTGACTTGACATACTTAATCAGTTCATATGGCATGCTTTTATTGATCCTCAATTTAATTTGGTGTGCGACAAATTACATATTGGACCTTAAACTAATGGAGAGGCCCACTTTTATATAAGCTGAATTTTCAATTAAATTCATACTTGTTAAGATATAATTTATACATTCAGTCAAATTAGATTATAATATCATTTGGTTTATGAATTGAAATCAGATAAAATTCAAATTACTACTTGATATATGGAGGAATTATATTTAGGGACATAATTCATTCGAAATCTTGTAACTTTAGAAGCAAGTCTTGAGAGAAATGATTATGACTAAAAGTTAGAGGAAAAATTATAAAAAGTGAAAGGTTATAAAATAATGAAAAGGGAGATGACATGCATGTTAGTTGTTACCTAAAGATGAAAAATAGGGACCCATATTGCCGGCTGAATATGTTGCATTGCTGATTTTATCTATGAGGGTTACTCAAAAGTCAAGATTTTGTGTTCTCCTTCAGTCATCACAACTTTGAATATTTATTTATGTAAGACTGACTATCAACCTATTTAAAAAGTACCAACTTGTGGAACATCATCATTTTGTGCTTGAATTTTGTTATTACCAACTTCACTTTTCAACTTTTGGCTCATTTATTTATAATAATTCCAACTAATCACAGATGTTTAGTCATTGCCTTAATTTGTAGCACATGGCTAAATATTGCATTTGCTTATTTTCCTTAAAGCTACTCAAAACTCAAACTTTATTATTTTTTAATTATAATGAATATATTATTTAAAGGTGGCGAATGTTGTGATAATTACTATTGGCTTTAAGCTGAATTAGCTATTAAAGAATTGGGTGTCTTTGGTATTTGGAGAATATTTTTATGAAATTTTTTTTTTTTTAAAAAAAGATAAGTTACTTTCTTACTTATTTTTTACTTATGAGTAAGTAAGAAAAAAAAATTATTTCAAAAATATTTTTATGTAACCTAGCAAAAACACTATATGGGTGGGAGGGGATAGGGAGTAGGACCTCGGTGGTTGCGGGGATGGGATGGTCAAGGGGAAGGAGTTGGGGGCATTAGGTTGTTGGAGACAATACAATATAGGGATAAGGGTCTGAAAAATACCCTAACTTTGGTCGGATATGCTGTTGCGATACTAAACTTTCACGAGGACCTATTACCTCCCTAGACTATTTAATACTGTATTTTAAACATATATATTTGCCTACGTGGACATAAAAAATAATACAAAATTATAAATAGTAATGTGTCCACGTGGGCACATATATACCTTTAAAATACACTATTAAATAGTTCAGGGGGTAAAAAATACGGTATTAAATAGTCTAGGGAGGTAATAGGTCCTCGTGAAAGTTTAGTATCGCAACAGCATATCCGACCAAAGTTAGGGTATTTTTCAGACCCTTCCCCCTACCATAAATATAAAACGTCACTTATAAAGAAAGTCATTTTGGTGATCATTATTTAAGGAACTTGTTTTCAAAATATGGTAAAATAGGAAAACATTTTCCTCCATGTCAAACACAAAAGTCACTTATTGAGCTTCTTCGTTGTCTCTTGATAATGTTTTGTTTCTCAAAATCATATACTAGTAACATTTACAACCTAAACTAGGTTATATATATATAATATATATA